ATAAATGTCTGGAGGCCTAGAATGGCCAGCATTTCTGGAAGCTGATAGTGTTGTCGGGGCCAGCTGCCAAGGACTTGAATCCTGCAGTCTTCTCTTCAGTTTAAGAATAGTAGCAGCATGGGGCTGGGAAGGTGGCTCAGTGGTAGAGCGCTTGCCTTGCATGCATGAGGCCCTGGGCTCGATTCCTCAGCACCACATAAGCAAAAAGAAAAAAGCCAGAAGTGGCACTGTGGCTCAAGTGGTAGAGCGCTAGCCTTGAGCTGAAGAGCTGAGTGACAGCACCCAGGCCCAGAGTTCAGGCCCCACGACCGGACCCAAAAAAAAAAAGAAAAAGGAATAATAGCAGCAGGGCTGGGAAGGTGGCTCAGTGGTTAGAATGCTTGCCTCACATGCATGAGGCCCTGGGTTAAATTCTCAGTACCACATAAACAAAAACTTGGAAGTGTTGCTGTGGCTCAAGTGGTAAAGTGCTAGCCTTGAGCTGAAAAGCTGAGGGGCAGCGCCTAGGCCCAAAGTTCAAGCCCCAGGACCAACAAACAAACAAAATTTGTAAACAGGAATAAGAAACTCAGAAGAAACTTGTAGAGGGAGATGTGGCAAGGATAGTGAGGTAGCCTTTCAGTCGTCTGAGATGTGGTTTTAGTGGCTCCTTTTTCCTCCACAGGAATACAAACAATCATACCAACCTATGCTTGCACTCACTGGTTCTGTGATTCTATTCTGAAGTCCATAGCCTGACAGGGCTGACCTGTGGAGCTGACACCAGTGTGATTAGAAGATTTGATGGGGGAGGAGAGTGGGAAACTGGAGTGTTGTAGAGGGGAGAGGGCCCCAGAAGGCAGTGGGGGGTGGGTCACCTGCCTCACAGACCTCAGGGGCCTCTGGGTGTGTTGGATGCTTACTTAGTAAAGATTTCTGCCTGTCTGGAGGCTTGTTCTTTTGTTATTGTTGTTGTTGGTGGTGATGGTGGGGCTTGAACTCAGCGCCTGGGTGCTGTCCCTCAGCTATCTTCCTCAAGGCTCCATGCTCTATCACTTTGGGCCACAGTGCCAGTTCTGGTTTTTGAGTAGTTAATTGAAGACAAGAGTCTCATGGGGACTTTTCTGTGATCCTCAGATCACAGCCTCCTGAGTAGCTAGAATTGCAGGTGTGAGCCACTGGGTGCCCGGCTTTGGGGGCTTATTCTTGATCCACCTTTCCCTTGGTCCTGAGCTCTGCTACAGCTTGGGCCACTTCTCACTATGAGTGCAGTGGGTCAGGCCTAAATTTTGACTTCTGCTGTTCTCCATTGCCATCTTAATCTCTCTCTCCCCCTACTGACATTGCTGCTTTCCCAGACCTTGCTTTCTCTCCAGCTGCCTTGTCCCTCCATCTCTTTCCACCATTGACTTTAATCTTTGTGTTATAGGTATTCAGCATTTGAGGATAGGTAGTTTTGCCTTAATTCTTTTAATGCCTCTATTTTTGCTTTCCCTAACTTAGCATTTCTCCAATGTGTTCAATTATGAAATAATTATCTTATTAAACACCAAGGCCAATTTACAATCAGAGTAGGAAATGATGGCTTTAGCTTTCATTTACAAATGTAGAACCGTAGCCCCTGAGAAGTATTTCTCAGTGTAATTTACTTGTGTAAGAACCTGTTTTTCATCATAAGGGGCATATTCCACAGGGCACAATTTCCAGAGGGCCACTGTAAATGACTTATGTTCTGGAAGAATGGAAGCCACCTTGTCCTCTGCTGTGGATCCTACATTAGCTGAAGGCAGCACTAGTCAGGAAATAGGTAATTTCTAAGTAAACTCTTAGGACTGTTGTTTGATAAAAATCCACCATTTTAAGCCATCTTGAAGCACATATTTCAGTTACATTTAGGATGTTAGCAGTGTGGAACAACCACGAACACTATGTAGTTCCAGAATATTTTCATCACCCTTTACCCATTAAGCTGTCACTCCCCATTTTATCCTCCCCCCGCTCTACGCCTTCCCCCCCACCCCCCACCCCACCCCACCCCACCCCCGCCACATGGCAACCACTAGCCAGCTTTCTGTCTCTAATGGGTTTGCTTATTCTGAACATTTTATATAAATGACCTCAGTATGTCCACATGTGAAGTTAGGAAACATACAAGGTCATAGACCTGGATGATACTTCTATTCTTCCAAAGCAACGCTGTGTCATTGACCAAACTCCATAAGTATATAACAGAAAGCAGCCATCTGTCTAAAAGCCTCCAAGTCATGTTAATATGCTAGAAATTCTCATGGAGCGTAGCAGAAAGGGTTGCCATTACAAGACTTGGCTTGGTACTTCAGGAAGCTTGAACTGTGCTGGGATGCCCTTTCCTGGAGGTCCAAGGCAATTGAGCTGTTGACACAATTATCATCATCACATTTTATAGGTGGAAATCTTAGCATTTTGTAGCTGCCCCATTTAGTAATTATAGAATATTCTAGCACGTACTAGTCTTAAACTCTTCAGAGGCATGTAGGAGAAAAGATTTTGTTCTCCAAGCTACAGAGCCCTCAGTGTTCCATTGGGCAAATTCTTTGAGCTTGAAGACTTGTGTAAAATTAGCTGTCCCTGGGCTCTGTATCTCTTGTCTTAGAATTCCCAGGGATCAAGTACTCATCCACTACAAAGGTAGCTGTTGACTGCCCTTTTGGCACCTTCTGCTAAGCAGAGTGACCCCTCACTTGCCTAACTTGACTTAAGCAACCCTTTCTACATTGTTCCCTGGAATTCATATTCCAAAAGGTCTTTCTTCTCCAGGCTGTACCCTCTGACCTCTCCTCCTTGTCTCTAGAGTCAGGACACATCACTGTCTGAAGCTGTGTTGTCATTTGCCTAAATACCTGTTGTCAGTGTGCCATCTTCTGCCTAAGAACTTGTGATGCTATTGTTGTCCAAACACCTTTCTAGCTTTGAACATTTGCCTCTGCCTTCTCTAGGTAGAATGTGACATTTTCTATTGATGAAGCTGATGTTATTCCTCTTTTCCCTCAAGTCTACATCATCTCTTGCATCAGACTTGGGACCACTGACTGCCATGATCAATATCAGTCTTCACTTGAGGCCCAGGAGTTGTGCACAAAGCCTCCCCAGACATTCTAGTACCTCTGATTGGTCACACTAAACTCATAGTACACCCAAATATAACAGAATTTTGAGCTAGAAACAGTTTTTTCCCCGAAAATTTTCTCTTTGCCTTCTCTGCCAGTCATATGGCCAGTTCTCAGAGGAAGGGACCATCTGTTGGGGACAGAGAGGGAGTAAGCAGAGTAAGAAGGCATTGGAATATGAGTCTGAAGCCTGGATCACCTAAGGGCTTGTCACTTGGTTGCTTTTGTTGTCTTGGAAAAGCCATTTATTTTGAACTTCTTATTTGTAAGATAAGTAGGGGATGTGATGTATGTATTAGTTTCCTATTTGCTGTTATAACAAGTTATTACAGATTTAGTGGCTTAAAGCAACAACAATCCTCCTAAAGTTCTAGTGGCGAGAAGTACAGAATGGGTCTGCAGGACTACATTTTTAAGCAAGTTGTAGGGGGGAATTGTTTCTTTGCATCTACCAACTTCTCCAGGCTCAGGTTTCCTGGACTAATTGTCCTCCAACTTCAAAGCACACCATCCAACCTCTGTTTCTGGTGTCACCTCTTCTCTGTGTCTCTCAGATGTCCTTTCTTCTTGAAGGATCCTTATAATACTTTGAGTCTATCCTATCCAGGGAACCTGCCATCTCAAACTTAATCCCATCTACCAAGTATCTTATGTAAGCATTCAGAGATTTGGACATTGATGTATTTGGGGCCCTTATGCTACTATGGTGGATTCTTAGGTCTCTTGTTAGGTCCCTAACTTACCTTAAATCTAACAACATATTACTTTGGCTTGTATAAGAGCTTAACACATGCAGTGCTAGGCTCATCATGTCTACTATTTATTTGTTCGTTTGATTGTCAGTGTGGGGCCTGAACTCAGAGTCTGAGCGCTCTACCACTTTGAGCCACAGCAGTGCTTCCTCATCACTTCTTGATAAATTGAGTTTAGCTCTGACTACTTCCTCTTTCCATATTGTTCTGAAGAGCTCCAGGGCCAATATAGCTGCATGATAGCACAAACCTTAATTTGTTTTGGTTTTCGGATTTTTACATAAGAACATTTGACACTGTCTCTCAGACCAATCTTTGATATTATGCTCAAAGAATTTTTTGGGGGGGGGGGGCGGGCATCTGGTCGTGGGCCTGAACTCTAGGCCTGGGCGCTGCCCCTCAGCTCTTCAGCTCAAAGCTAGCGCTCTACCACTTGAGCCACAATGTCACTTCTGGCTTTTTTTTTCTGCTTATGTGGTGTTGAGGAATCGAACCCAGGGCCTCATGCATGCAAGGCAAGCGCTCTACCACTGAGCCACCTTCCCAGCCCCTGCTCAAAGAATTTTATTAATTTCCCAGTAATCAGAAATAATTTTTCACCTGTTAATTATATTGGTGATTCTATCACACACCTTCTTGTTTCTTGATAAAGTCTGGACTGTGTCTTTAGGTCTCTTGTATAAATTGTCTAATTCTAATGGTAAACGGCAGTTGTGGTTCTATGCACCCTTAAAGTCTAAAAGCTGAATCATCTTGGATGCTAGCTTAGTTCGTTTACTTATAATGATAACTCAATGTTAAATTGATGGTATTTCACAGCAGTTTAGATTGGTGTTTATAAGAGAGTTGTGCTGTTTTTTCTTTACCCCCTATTGAATAGTTTCCACCTTGGATGACCATTGTAGAAAACACCAATAAAATATTTTATGGTGACTTTCTTTTGAGTTTCAATGTTCATTCCGCTCATGGTACTGAAAAAGGATTCCTCATAGGTTGAAAAATTGTCCCTGCTTTAAAGTTTTAAGTTTTGAGGTTGCTTTTCCTGGAGTCTGAGAAATGTATAATGTGAAGCAAGCAAGTTTGTGTCCAGCCTATTGAAATCTCTTTCTGTTTTGTTTCCCAGATGCACCCACTGGGCCTGTGTAATAACAATGATGAAGAGGACCTGTATGAATATGGCTGGGTAGGAGTGGTGAAGCTGGAACAGCCAGAATTGGACCCGAAACCATGCCTCACTGTCCTAGGCAAGGTAAGCACTAGGCCCTTTGCATTATTGCCATTGCGATCAGTGTTATCCACTTAATAATTTCCTAAGTTTTAAGATAATTGGTTCTAAAAAATAATGCCAGCTCCCCCATGGTATAACCCTTGCCTTCACTGTATTTGATGTTGGTATAATTTGTGGAGGGGGAGGGGAAAAAACAAATCATTTAAATAGGGATACAGGTGGACCCATTGCAACAATGAGATGTACAAGTCATGTCGAAAAACGAACTTTACAACTGTGGCGATGGCAGTGGCTGGGGGAGGGTAGGGGTAGGGGTGGACAATGTGTGGGGGGAGAGAGATGGGAAGGGATAGGAAGGGGAAACAAAGGAGGAGGCAACAATGCTTGATAAGAAATGTACTCATTATCTTGCCCATGTAATTTAACTCCTCTGTATGGTATTTTCACAATAAAATTAAAAAAAAATAATGCAGTGCAGTGTTCCTTCCTGGATAAAGTTATATGGCACACCTTGAGGGGTCTGAGTTTCTGTGTAAGAGATTGATAATAGAAATTTATAATACTTGATCTTACCCCCTCAAGGCCAGGAATTTCAGAATTTTGAGATTTGGGGGGCTTAGAAAAATATTAGGGTACCAATATTTTTATTAAGTAACCTTGGCAATCTGGGACAACACTTGGTAATCATACACCTTCGTATTTGTGTACAAAGTTTATAGATAACACATCAAATGGAATAACTAAAATCTTAAGTAGCCTCATGTTAGTGCAAGGTAGCTTTGCCTTCAAATGAGATCAGATTCATTAAGTTGCGCTGCCAAGTAAGTTATGGGGAAACTTGAATTTCAGAGCTTTTGGGATCTCCTGATGACAAACAGCAGTTGTGATCCAGTGTTAGAACTCACCCCAATGAGTGGTTAGGAGGCGGGGTTGAAGTACGAATGCTTTATGGAAGAATAAGCTCTCAAAAATGTTTGTGACCACTGGCCCTTGTCACTCTTGTCACCCTGTTTAAAAAACTCTTAGCTAAGTGGGTCATCATTACTTCTAACTACATCATAAGACAGAATTAAGTCTATTTTGGAAAGCTTCCATCAAAGACCTTAAAATGTGACCAGTACAGCTTAATTTTCTTTCTTTCTTTCTTTCTTTCTTTCTTTCTTTCTTTCTTTCTTTCTTTCTTTCTTTCTTTCTTTCTTTCTTTCTTTCTTTCTTTCTTTCTTCTTCTTTCTCTCTCTCTCTCTTTCTTTCTTTCTCTCTTTCTTTCTTTCTTTCTCTCTCTTCTTTCTTTTTCTTTCTCTCTTTCTCTCTTTCTCTCTTTCTCTCTCTTTCTCTCTCTCTCTCTTTCTCTCTCTCTCTCTTTCTCTCTCTCTCTCTCTCTCTCTCTCTCTCTCTCTCTCTCTCTCTCCTCTCTCCCCTCTCTCCTCTCTCCTCTCTCCTCTCTCCTCTCTCCTCTCTCCTCTCTCCTCTCTCCTCTCTCCTCCTTTCTGGTCCGGTCGTGGGGCCTGAACTCTGGGCCTGGGCACTGTCCCTCAGCTCTTTAGCTCAAGGCTAGCGCTCTACCACTTGAGCCATAGCACCACTTCCAGCTTTTTTTTTCTGCTTATGTGGTGCTGAGGAATTGAACCCAGGGCCTCATGCATGCAAGGCAAGCACTCTAACACTGAGCCACCTTCCCAGCCCACAGATTAATTTTAAAGTGGATCATTTGGCTCAAAGGGAAGGTGCAGAGAAGTTACTTGATTTTTTTTGCATTTTATTTTAAAATAATTTTATTAAGTGTTACACAGAATGGCTACCATTTCATGTCAGGCAATGCGTACGTTCTTCTTTTTGGACAGTGTCACCCATTCCTTTACTTTCCTCCTTCCATCCCTGCCCAAGTGTTTCATGGGTCATTTTCCCAATAGTATATACTTGATGTTACTGTCTAGCATTTTTTTTGGATTCCAGTCTTGGGGCTTGTACTTAGGGCCTGACCATTGTTCCTGACCTTTTTTTTTTTTTGCTCAAGGCTAGTGCTCTGCCAATTGAGCCACACCTCCATTTCTTGCTTTTTTTTTTTCTAGTTTATTGGGGATGAGTCTCACAAACTTGTCTGCCTAGGCTGACTTTGAACTGTGATACTCAGATCTCAGCCTCTTGAGTAGCTAGGATTGCAGGAATGAGCCACCCAGCTTATATTTTTTATGTTATCAAAAGTTATGGTTCTAGGTACCACAGAGATACAGCTTGGGGAAGAACTATCCTGTTCCTGATATTACAGACTCACTTGGAAGATCCAGGCAAAACAGGAGGCTACTTTAATGCAGGGAACCAGGGAGGGAGCCCCCCCCCCCCCCAAACCCCATACCAATGTCTCCTAAAAGACCTGGAACCCCTCATAGGTCTAATTTGTTTGTGATTTTTATGTATGTTTTGACCCTGAGCAGCTTCAGGGAACTTGTCAAACCCACTGGAATTATTATCTATTTGCCTTACAGTTCACTAAGTTAAATCAAGGTGTTTTAGGTGGCTCAGGCTGATACTCCATCATTTAAATAAGTTGACCAGAGCTGCTTAATGCTGGTAGAAGAGCAGCAGTCCTCTTGAGAATATTTGAGAGTTTTCCTAGGAGAAATGCCAGCTACATCCAAAGGGTAAGAACAGTGCTTTCCTTGTAGGTATTTTGCTCCTAATAGACTATTTTCTCCTCTGCTTGAACCACTGCATAGCAAAACTATAGCTTCTTGATTTCATTTGCTTTGCCTCATTCCAGTAGGGTTTCATTCCAGTGGTGTTTGCAAATGGGTTGGGAAAGGGTTCACAGGGTTACTATTGGCCTCCCATGGGTTACTGGTGAGGATACTTGTTGAAGCCACTCAGAGGACACACTGTTTCTTCCTCCGCCTGGTATAACCATATTGTGGTTTTACTTGGAGAGTTTTGTATGGCTTGGCCTCCTTGTTTGTGAAGCCAGGGGGAATGGAAACCATAGACATATATTGGATTATTAAGTACTTCTTGGGTTTATTCATTCATCAAAGAGTTACTGAACATAGGCCTAAGAGCTAAGTGTGTGGTTCCACCTGCCTGGGAGCAGCAGCCCTCCATGTTTCTGTTTGGAAAGCCTGGGTAAGAGAAATTTAGGCACCATTTGACAAGCTTGGTTTTTGCCATTTGTCTTAAAGTTGTCCCCCAAAGAAGCTTGATCCAGGAAAAGTAACCAAGGGGCTGGGAAGGTGGCTCAGTGGTAGAAAGCTTGCCTTGCATGCATGAGGCCCTGGGTTCGATTCCTCAGCACCATATAAGCAAAAAGAAAAAAGCCGGAAGTGGCGCTATGTTTCAAGTGGTAGAGTGCTAGCCTTGAGCTGAAGAGCTGAGGGACAGCGCCCAGGCCCAGAGTTCAGGCTCCACGACCAAATCCCCCCCCCCCAAAAAAAAGAAAAGAAAAGAAAAAGTAAGCAAGTTTCACATTTTCTTTCTTTTTTGGGGGGAGGGGGGGTCCGGTTGTGGGGCCTGAACTCTGGGCCTGGGCGCTGTCCCTCAGCTCTTCAGCTCAAGGCTAGCACTCTACCATTTGAGCCACAGTGTCACTTCTTTTTTTTTCTGCTTACCTGGTGCTGAGGAATTGAACCTAGGGCCTCATGCATGCAAGGCAAGCGCTCTACCACTGAGCCACCTTCCCAGCCCCAGCAAGTTTCACATTTTCTTAAAACTTGAGGTAAGCCGGGTACTGATGGCTCACACCTGTAATCCTACCTACTCAGGAAACTGAGATCTGAGAATCATAGTTCAAAGCCAGCCCGGGCCAGAAGGTCCATGAGACTCTTCTTTCCAATAAACTTCCTCTCCCCACCTCTGTCTGTCTGTCCCACCCCCCCCCCCCCCCCCAAAAAAAAAAGGCTGGTAGAGCTATGGCTCAACTAGTTAGAGAGCTAGATTGTGCACAAAAGCTCAGAGACAGCACCCAGGCACTGAGTTCAAGCCCAGGACTGGCATCAAAAAACAAAAAGCACTTACATTAATATCAGAGGTATAATAAATCAGACATGTACCCCTACCCTCAATCTTCTTAAAAATGTAGGTGTCCTCAGTTGTAATTTCAATAACTTTGTTAGCTCTGTTTTCATTCCTTCCTCCCCTTTTGTTTTGTTTTTCTTTCTGTGCTCCTAAGGGCAGGAGCAAAAGACTAGGTAAAAGAAGGCACAGTTATCCTCAGCTGAGTCCCCTGCAGAGAGCCTGGCTTTCTTGGCTTTTGGTGGCCATGGTAAGAAGTGGTAGTTGGTGAAGAGACAAAAGGCCTAGGAAGAAGTAGCTCAGGGAGTGTAGTTCAGTAGTAGAGTGCTTGTCTAGCATGCAAGAAGCTCTGGATTCAATCTCTTTGTTACTGGGAAGAAAAGAAAAAGAAAAGGCTAAAAGACATAGAAGTTACAGCCAGGCTGTGAGGGTGAAATGGAAGGACTCCTGCAGGTCCATGTTGAGACTTGTTGAAAACTATAGAAGGGAGGAAGGGCTCTGAGAGCCCCAGCGTGCCAGGCTTCAGAAAAGCTGTGGGAGAACAGGGGAGGGGTCTGTGAAGCCCCTCTCTCCATTACCCACCCTCCTTACCTGCCCACCCCACAGATGATGCCCTGGGGCAAAATCCTGAAATAAGAGAGGAATGTCCTAAACTTTAAAAAACTAAAAAGAAAAAGAAAAAAAAAAGCAGAAATGCCTCTCCAGGAGTTCAAATAAAGTTTCCTTTTAAAAGCAAAAGACATAAACTCATCACCTTGGTTTATTACAAGTGCTTTTGAACTCTTCAGTAAAGAACACCATAAACTCATGAGAGAAAAAAATGATTTATGACCCCCTCCTTCTAATCTTTTCAATTCTGTAGGAGGAGGTGCAGACAGTAGGATCAACTAGGGAGGCAGAGTTGGGGTGAGGGTGAGCCCCCACAGGGAGCAGGTCAGGCACCAGGCCAGGGCCTGCCTCGGGCCAGGCACAGAAAATCTCTTCAGCCTTCTAGAACTCTCTTTTTCACTTCATGCAAAGAG